GAAAACAATGGAGGGGGTAACAATGCCCAATAGGAAGTGTACTCATTACCTTACTCATGTAACTGTAACCCTCTGTATAGTATCTTTACAATAAAAAAATATTAAAAAAAGAAAAACAGCCAAAGGATAAAAGTAATTATGTAATAGAAAAGAAAGTCCTGAGGCTCCGGACACATGAGGGATGTCCAAGCTCAGGATGATCAGAGCCACCCATGAGCTTCAGCTAGTAAACTGCTTCTCCAAAGAGTGACAGTAAGAAAAGTTCAGAAGACAATTTGGGGACGAGAGGTGGCAAGACAGTAGCTTCCATAATTTTTTTTTTTGGTCGGTCATGGGGCTTGAACTCTGGGCCTGGGTGCTGTCCCTCAGCTCTTCAGCTCAAGGCTAGCACTCTACCACTTGAGCCATAGCACCACTTTCGGCTTTTTCTGCTCATGTGGTGCTGAGGAATTGAACCCAGGCCTCATGCATGCAAGGCAAGTGCTCTACCACTGAGCGGCCTTCCCAGTCCTCCATAAACTTTTGCTTTGCTTTTGTTTTCTAGTCCTGGGGTTTTGAACTCACATAGGGTCTGGTCACTGTTTCTGAGCTTTTTTTGCTCAAGGCTAGTGCTCTGCACTTGAACCACAACTCCACTTCTGGCTTTTTGGTGGTTAACTGGAGATAAGAATCTTGGGGACTTTTCTTCTCAGGCTAGCTTTGAACTTCAATCCTCAGGTCCCAGACACCTGGCTGGATAGCTGGGGATACAGATGGGAGCCACCTGCACCCGACTCCCCTAAACTTCCTATGCTTCCTGGGCAGCATAGTATCCCTTTGAAAAACCCAGAAGGCCAACATCTTTCATTTGGAACTAGAATTTAAAAAGAAAATACTATCCAAATCCTTGTAACAAAAATAGCCAAATTAAAATTCACTGACATTGAAGTCTTTAGGTAGAAAAACAACTATTCACCTTTAAAAATAAAAGGTAGGTGCTGGTAGCCCACACCCGTAATCTTAGCTACTCAGGAGGCCTGCGGTCTGAGGACCATGGTTCAATGCCAGATGGGACAGGAAAATCGGTGACACTCTTATCTCTCATTAAGCACCAAAAAGCTAGAAATGGAACTGTGACTCAAGTGGTAGAGTGCTTGCCTGGAGGAAAAACAAAGCTTGGGCGTCTAGGCCCTGAGTTCAAACCCCAGGACTGACACGTTCATTAAAATCACACATAATGACAAACTGATATGTGTCAAGGGCTTTGGCATTTTGTGGAATTAGTAACTAAGATACAGTGTCACCTTACTGCTCTTTGCAAAGTATTTGAGGGATACATTTTATTATTTCTGATGCAGATCTCGTGACAGTAGCTCCCCAATCTGCTCATGGTCAAATCATCCTCAATAGGAGTTCTGCTGGCCCCATGTCAGGGCATATCACACAGATTTTGGTGTTTTGCAACCTGAAGATGATGCATATTTTGTTTATTTGTGCACCTGAGAAAGGGCCCTGGCATATGCTTCTGGAAGCTTCCAACCTCTCTTGTCTCAGTCCTGGGGCTTAGAACTCAGGACCTAGGTACAGTCCCTGAGCTTTTTCTTCCTCTCAAGCCCAGTGCTCTACCACTTCTGTTTTGTTTGATGCTTAATTGGATACAAGGGTGAGGCGTGAGTCACCAGCGCCCGGCTCCCGGAGCTCTTTCCCCTGGTCGGCCACGTCCTTACCTGGGCTGGAGATGCACAGGGCTCCTGCGAGCCCTTCGACTGCCCAGCACCGCCACAGCTGCAAATCACCTAGAAAAGTAGAACTTTTAGTCAGTGTTGTGTTGAGCCAATCATGTACCATCCTCACAACAGTTGGAAAAAAATCGTTTCATTGCGGTCAACTCTGCTGGCTTCATGTTCTTCACCAGGGCTCCATCTTCAGTCAAAGAGCGAGTCCCAACGAAGGTCAACTACAGGGTCTACAGACCCCACTGCAAAGTGGAGACAGCACCTCCACGTTAAAACCCATTATGAATTTCAAGGTGGCACCGGCAGTGGGGGGAAGCTAAGTTTTAGATCCTTTCTTAAAGGGGGCCCAGGCCCCTGCATGTGTCTCCCACACGGGATCAGCTCTGATCCCAATGGAAACGCCATCACGACATTATCTTCCATGATAAAGGAGAACTCTTCCCGGAAGCTTCTAGAAAGTGTTTCCTCACTGTCCAGAATCATACCTTCAAAGTAAGGAGTTAGACTGTCTGACCTTTGTATTGTTTGGATGAGACGGTAGGGCGGCCGCCATCAGCCTGTGACAGCAAGTGTGCCACATCCAAGGTGGCATCACAGACATGAAGAATTGTACCCCAGAGAGTGGCCAAATAGCTCTGATTGCCCAGCACCAGACTTAATCAAAGATGCCCTCCCCCCCC